TTGTCATGAATTTTTTTATGGTTAGTCATATATGTACAATCAGCCTTATTATCAATGACATGGAATTAAATGATTATCTGGGCAAAAATTTGTCTATGATAAAGAGTTGGAAAAAAGCTATATATTTCATTTTGTCTAACAAAAGTGGACATGGAACAAAGTAAAAAAAAAACCACTCAGCTTCATAAGAGGCATACATTAGGTAATTATGTGCTTTGAATTATTGACTTTTTTTCTTTCAATTTTTCAGCACCTAGTATTTTAAGTCATTTTTACTTTAACTCATGTTAACTTATTCTAAGCACTTAGCACAATTGGGATAACTGGGCCCTCCCTGGTCAGGTTTTATTCTGCTTGGCTTCTAACACAAGCATTACTTTGGGCAGCTTTCTGCTTATTCCAGGGCCCCTTTTCTGAAGGCTTTGATTGACATGGGGACACATGGGCACACATCCCTGCATAGTGGGAAAATTCATCTATGCTTGCTAGTCACAAGGTTTCTAGATAAAAGGAGCTATTCCTTTCAGCAATGCATCAACCCCTTTGTTTTCTTCTCTCCTACTCTCCTTTTCATTTTTCAAGGCTTATCAGTCTTAGTATTTTGTTTCTCTGAACTCCTTAGTGGTGGCAAAAGGTAATGTACTTCTTGGATATTTTGACTCAGTGCTTTCCTATAGATGGGTAAACCTTGCACTCCGTGCTACAGATTTACCATAAATTAATATTTAATGAACTCTTGGCTGAAGGAACAAAAGGCTTTATATATCTGACCTTTGGCTGCTAGCTTCTGATAAAGTAAGTAGAAAAGAAGTAGAAAAGGAGCAAGACCTATTTCTTCCTACTGTTAAAAACAGCAGAAAGAAAACGGAGTAGATATGAAAGATGAGAGACTACAAAAAGACCCAATTATATATTTTCAATGGCAAATTCTGAATGCATTTTCTGCTAGGTTTACAGGACTAATCAAGCATTACGCTCTGGTAGCCAGTCCCTTGTGGGTGCATTAAGTTTCCACCACTGGTGTCTAGCATCCCTTCCTCAAGATAAATGCTTTTTTGCTTTAATGAAAGAAATCTGGCATGGAAAATGGAAATGAATGGAAGTGAGGTGTATGTCAATTTTGAATTTCACTTGAAAAAAAAAGAATAAACTTGGTTGAAATAAATCAATTCCAGCAAAGAAGCCTGATTTTTTTTTTCAGGTTCCATTTTATATCTGTTTTCACTTGCTTGATTCGCTGATGCAAGAAGATGCCCCATTGAGCTCAAAGAATGACATAAATTTACTGAGCGCAATAGGGCAACAGGAGAAAGGGGTTATACGATGATCATGTAAACCTTAGCTGGCCACCCCAGAGCTGCAGATTCATTACAATCCCTCAAAGGCTATAAGGACTCTTGTCCTGTTCAGCCATGATGTGGCAGCCTCTTGCTATCCTAATAATTATTCAATCATCTCTGTTGCATATTTGTACATACTTTGTGCACTGCTGAAATTGGCTCAAGATACTAAAGTTTAGGCCACAAAAATCTATAAACTAATTTAATAGTTAACAGGCAAATATGTTTCCCTCACTTGGTAAACTTTATATAGGAATAAATACCCAATTTGACTTAGGAATGAATGATAAATGTTGGCACCTTTTATACTATATTTACTTGTGGTGCACTGTGATCTGGATCCTATAAACAGCGGATTGATGGAATTTATGTCAGAAACTTGGGTTGGATCCCTTTTTGATCCTTTTCAATCCCATGATTTTATGGTTAAAAAGACTGACAAGTTGGAAGCAATTTAGAAATGGATGAGAAGGAAAAATAAGGTGCCTGAAGAAATAATGCTAGTGTGGTTGCATGGAGAGGATGGTGCCACCCTACCACAGAAAACTTAAGAAAAATCTATAAAAAGCAATTCATTTTTAAGTGGTGCAAAGCATGAATTACACCACTGGTTTATGGAAAAATGAATGCAACAATTTCAACTGGGGATATGGGAAAAGCCAAAAAAATAATAATACAGTAAATAAAAAGTAATTTTGAATCAAAACTCCAGCACAGAATGAAAAAGATAGCAGTCCTACCACATTTATATTATTGGCATAACAAAGATTTACATTTAGGGGAGACTTTTGTTAATTCTGAAATGCATTGTATATATAATCTTACCTAGCAATTTGAATAGTGGCTAGGTCACTGAGTTTTTATATAAGTGGTGGTTCAGCAGTTACATTCCAAATTACAGAGTAGAACTGAGAAGAGTTTGTTTTAAATAAGTGTGATGTAGCTAAAGTTCCCAATGTCATTTGCTAATGGGTTTTCACATACAACAATAAAGCATGCCTTATGCTATTTGTATCATAACATCTGCAGCAGTTACCATGAATACAGCAAAATAGTGTTATCATATGCATGTTTACCCAGTAAACATCCTAATTTGATTTATCCCATGTGGATACTAGGATTCAGGCCAAAGGACAAATTTAAATCCTTGCTTTTACTTTATACTGGGTTCATCTCAAATGGATATCTATTCTGCAAAAGATAGAAAGATTACAGTGTATTGAAGATAACGTAAGTGAAATGTGCATTACACAGAGAAAACTGCTTTCTTCTAAAATTAAAATGATATTATTCAGATGTCCATCTAGAGCAGTGGTGGCGAACCTATGGCACACGTGCCAGAGGTGGCACTCGGAGCCCTCTCTGTGGGCACGCAAGTCGTTGCCCCAGCCCTGACTCCCCCCGCAACCCCCTCCTCACCAGCAGCCTGCCTGGAGGAAAGTCTCCTCCAGGTGCGGCCCACGCGGAGCAGTGCAGCCAAGGACATGGCAGCCGGGCAGCAGGGGCCCTCATGCCCCATCACATGCAGATGATGCTATGGGGTTCAGGTGGAGGGCGTGGCCACCATGGCACTGCAAAGCTGCCTGGGAGATCTGTGGTGAGTGGCCCTGTGGGGGGAGGCAGAGCGGGGGGCAGAGCGGGGAGGGCAGGGGGGGCAGGGCGGTTTTTGGGCACTTGGTCTCTAAAAGGTTCGCCATCACTGATCTAGAGTACCTAAATATTTGGTTTCTCTATCGTAGAATATCTGCAAGAAGCAATGGATGGAAATTAATCAAGGAGAGAACCAACCTAAAACTAAGGAGAAATTTCCTGACAGAACAATTAAACAGTGGAATGAGTTGCCACCAGAAGTTGTGGGTACTCCAACACTGGAGTTTTTAAGAAGAGATTAGACAACCATTTGTCTGAAATGGTATAGGGCAGGGGTGTCAAACTGCTGGCCCGCAGGCCAGATGCGTCATGGCAAAACCGCGGCCATCCCATTTCCAGCAATGGAAAAAAAGTCACAATACGTTGCAACACATCACATGATGTTGCAAGTTTGATACCCCTAGTATATTTGAGTTGGAAGTTGGACTAGAAGGCATCCAAGGTTATTCTGTTTTGTAAAGCTGCTGTGGATGTTTAGTGTGTACTAAACTATATATGTTGTTCTATTATTAATAGTAATAATATTGGAAGAATAAATAGGACAGAAAGCTAAAGTATCTCTATTTAAAAATTAACTAAACATACAATTGCTCAGTATTTATCACTTTAGCTAAAGATAATGACTGATCATTTGTGTGATAATTCTTAAGAAGATAGATTGGAAGATGGCAGCAGAATAAATAATACAATAATGGAAGGCATAACCAGAAAGAGAAAAATCAAAAACAGATGGCACAAGACAGCTAAAGCAATCTAAGTTTTGAGAGAACTATGAAAGAAGATGCAAGACATCTTTCTAAATGCCTCAGTTGATCTCCAGAATCCTGATATTTCTCCTTGCATTCAGTGAATTCTGGAGTTCTGCCATGTTTGTAAGCCTAGCACACAAGTGGAAAATTTGTCAAGCAATCTCGTTGGAGTGTGATTAAACTCCCTTAATGGCTATCAACTGAATATTTTTAATATATTCTAAGTTACGCTCCCTGAATCATTTTAACTATTGTACTATTATTAAAATATTTTTATTTATATAGGAGAATTGGAAAACTGGAGAAAAACAAGTTCATAATAATTGCTTTATTGTTTTTAACTGGAATTCTACATTTACTGTTCCTTTCTCCAAAACCCTAAAAGATTTTGCAGAGCTTCAAGATGAATCACTTGAATTTCATTTCACTTTACTAATAGCAGAACATGCTCAAAGCCCAATTTTCTATTGCCATATCATGAAAATTCCCTAAGACATCACTCTGAAGTTTCTGCTACATCAGATTTCTCATACTCGTAACATTTAAATATTTATGCAGTATATTCCAAATTTTGCTACATAACTGACTGAAGCTGAAAGTTATATGGTATGATCTTAGGTTATAAAGAAATTAATAACCATAGATAGATTTGTGAGTAGCGTATTCTCACTTTTTATATTTTGTAGCATATTTTTCTTTTATTCATATTTTTCCACAATTACATTAGCCAATTGGCAAATAAATTCTTCACGCATATCCATATTTACGGCATAAGTTTTTATGTGTAAATTGAAACATAAAATGTGTATCTAATTTTACTTATAAAAAGCCACTAAGAGATAAAATATGTTTTTATATCTGTTTCTACACATTTTATGCATTCAAAAGTAATTATATGAATACATTTTCCAGTATTTTTATTATTATGGATAGTTGGTATTCTGGTGTCTCTGCTTATTAGATCAATTTGTAAGATCCCTGATCCTCTAGAACTGAATAGAACTAAATATCCTACACACAAATTCACAAACTTGTGGAAAGTTTTCTACAGTAATCCCTATCCTAAACAATGTCCCTTAGGTGTATACGCTTCTTGCCTTTTGGTACAGTCTGTACAATTAATTTACTTATTTGCTTAAATCATCTACATATTATAATTACATATTATAATTTACATATTATAAATTTCTGTCTCCCAGCCAGAGGTATCTATTTTTGCCTACAAAATCTTTTGAATTTTATGGTTGAGTGTAAATCTTACCTTTGTTTAAGGAGTTGTTTATTGTCTTCAATAGTTATGCTATCTACATAATCTCTCTTGAAAATTTCAAAGGCTTCTTGGCGTCCAAGTGACATTTCTTTTCCCACTCCTATTCAAGGAATACATCAGAATGGGTTGATTCGTAGAAATAATATTTAAAAGTAATAACAGTTCAAGTGGAGTTCAACTCTTAGTAATAAACAGACTACTTGGCTACTGCAGATATGGTTTGCCAATGCATTCTCCTGGGAGATTTTTGAAAACAACCTTAGAATTCTCAGGTGATTCCCCTATCCATGTTCAAACCAATATACTGTACCAATAAGTTCAAAGTGATGCTTCTGTGCAGAGAGGATCACTTATGAAACATTTATTTCTGAATTGTTAAAGCAATTACCTGTTTTTCCAGATTTTCAAAGCTGCTTTAACAGATGCTCCCATCTATCTCTGCATATGTGCACATGCACAGCTGCTTTATTTTATTATTATTATTTTCTGATGAAGCAAACTGGCTGTGCAAGTAGAGGCATGCAGAGACAGTCAGGAAAACATTCTGGAAAAGTTATGGCTGCTTCACTTGGCTCCATATATTCTGAAGCACCTCTTTTAGAGGTTACATAGTCCTACTAATCCGGGCCAAGCATTTTTAGCTTCCAAGATCAGTCAAGATAAGTTAATGGCTCCCCAAGATGAATTAGAACTTCTGAGAAAATATACAAATTGGACTATGTGAAAAAAATTCTATGGGACTAAAAATCTTGTTAATTTACTTATACTGTTGGCCAATTTTTTTTCCTCCCAAACCATTCTGGGTCCTGTCTGTCTTTTTTGGAATCAGCACAGCAACCACTTTCATACTAAATTAATCAGTTTCTGTAGTCTATGAAAACTTAAATGTCATTTATAGATTCAATGGTATATCTAAAATGACAGAATTAAATTTATTTCATGTCATCTGAAGATTCATAAGCCCAAATATTTTGCATGTTTCTTCTTAAATAGCTATTAATGTCTCCCTAATTAGAACCTGAGGGTCAACATTCAAAGCAATTTGTCTTTTCCAAAATTACTGATAATTTTTCCTTACATTTTTCTTCGATTTACTATTTTGGTTTCCAGTATCATGCTATAAAATATGATTATTGGTAACAGATCAAGAAACAAGGGTAGTTACCTCAGCTCCAAATTCCCATTAGTTTATATGGTCAGGATACTGGAGCCATGTCAACTTTCATTCAGTTGGAACAAAACCATTTTGAAGAATTTGAGCTCATTAGTTAGAGGAGGACTATTTATTCTGACCTTGAAACAAAATATGTTTTCTGTTTTCATACAAATCCCTATTAAATATGCATTTTGCAGGACGCCTGCAGAAACCATTACTGAGTTGAGCCAACAAAGAGACAAAAGCAATGAGTTTATTGAACACTTTCATGAATAATATAGCAAGAGCAAAAATATGCAATTTTAGGTATTAGTTTGGGGCTTCCTTATATGCACTGTACATACTTTTACAGTTGATAACCTGGCTGAAAAACAAAGCATATCTCACACAGAATACATATGAACAGCATTAAATTATAATGTATGATATCTATTCCATACTGAGAAGTGATAGAAAATGATGGTAATTAAGTGTTTGTTCTAATTAGCTTAGCCAGATTTAAGAGTGTTGAAAATTTGCATGCTGGTTTTATTGATGTTTTATGGAAAATAACATAACTGTGTAGGTTCAGACAATATTTTAAGCCACAAACCACAATTATATCAATGAAAATGTTAATTCAAATTACAATTTCTTCCAATTGTGATATAGAGACCTGAATTCCTACAATGTATTCTCACCATGAGAACTCTTGTCTAGACGCCCAGACTTCTGGATGATATCCAAATTGATAAAAGCTGGTTTAGCATGAAATGTGAACATACCCACTGCAATTCTGAGCATTACAATTATCAAAGTTATTGACTGATATCTCTGGAGTAATAATTGTCAAAAGATTGTCTATCTGTTTGTTTATTTGAGCAGGCCTTGTGAGTCCAGGAGGACCCCCCAATTGTACACTGGGTTTGTCTAGGGTAGTGCTACTCCATCCAGAATTAACAATAATAAATAACCAGATCCTGAGGTCCCTTGCATTCACAGTCACTGTCTTGCTGATTTGAAACATAACTTAAAGTGACAGTACATATTTAATAACATTAATATATGGTAGTTTGGGCATACTTTAGCCAGTATGCCACACATTCAATCAAAACCCAGTTTATTCCAGCATGCTTATAGTAGTCTGTGTAAAAAGGTTATCTCTACAGATTACCTTCCAACTAATTTAGTGTTACCCACATCTCACTAACTAGAAGATACAGTATATGCACTGACCAGTAGATGCTCATTATTAAAAACACCTCAAACATTAATAGGAATAGGATAGAAGGAGTGACTTTTTAGTAGAAATATTTTTAACTTGACCCATTAAACTCATATTACAAGAATATACATGTGAGATGGACATCTCATGTCAAAAAGACAAATCAGAATTGTAAGAAATACTTATATAGGCTCTCAGTCCAAGACAGTTTGCATAAAAATTTTACATACTGAAAAACCTAGGATAAATAAAAGACAAAATCAGAGCAATGCAAGAAAATGCTGAGAAATGTGGGAAAGTTGATGAGCTAGTAGTAAGTAATTATTCTCTTGATGATATATATTTAGTTAATAATAAAGATTTATAAAACTTTCAAAGGTATTCATCCTGTATTCAGGAATGTATTCATTCACACATTATTTTGTTCCTTCTTTTTTGCTATCACCAGTCTGAAAACATCTCCTAACTCAGTTAACTAGTAACATTTATCTTTTTTCCTCCTAAATCTCTGTGAAATCAAGTAAACTGCATTATTATACAAACTTGTTTTAGTCAGAATAGAATGTTTCTTCACTGTTCTTTATGCAGAAAAAAAATTCTCTGTTGGGAAGAGATCTTTAGACATAAATGCATCTTAAATACAATTTTTCCCTACAAGTATTAAGATTTCAGATGGTATTAGATGATATTTCAACTGTCAATTCTTCAAGCTGTAGTAGCAATAAATATTCTAAAGACTGAAAGAATCTAGAGTAGCAATAAATAATTAATAATATTTTAAAAATTCTAAAGGAATTTAAGGAAGCTATTGGTATGTATGTATATAATAAAAAAATTCTCACCCTTATGGATGGTATGTGTCTGTATCTTGGGTCCTCTACTACCATGTGCATCTGTGTGTGTTTGTGTGAGGGAGGGGCATGTGGGCATACTTGTGGGTGCATGGATGAGCATTCTATATAAATAGCTTAAATAAAATTTGTATGAAATACTTTGTTTTGTAATAACTCTATTTTATGCAAGAGTTTTTCTGGTATCGTCATCTCCATTTGCTGAGAAAAGGGAATGGTAAAGTTTCAGAGATAGAGAAAACTAAATCAAACAGAATAAAGATTTAAAAAGAAAAGTATCCATATTAATCCCACTCCTCTTAAAGGTTTCAGCAAACTTTATTATAAGGGACATATACATCTGGATACCTTCATTGGGCACAGTTTTTGAAATAAAAACTACATTAACAAAACAGTTTACTATATTTCTATAGTGTTATACTGCAGAATCTACCACAAATCTTCAAAGAGAAAAGGGATTCAATGTATTGCATCTTTGGCTCTGTTCTGTAACCTCTGCCATTATCTATCTATATACTACTAAAACTCTCGTGTCTGTAACTTTAATTGGGTGAAATTGTGCATCATAGGGTAAAAGGTTTTGAACCAAGGTACCTCAGTTGGGCTAATTTACAGAATGCATCCAAAATCCCTGCATCTGTGGAATTGAAATTGGCAGATTTATAAAAGATTTGATAACATAAAATTATCATAAAGCATTTATAATATAATACAAAATGTCATAAACCATTTCCAATGATCCACTCCTGATGTTTGACTGTGCTATACAATTTAACATGGATTGCTTTCAAGGCAGATGCAGCTCTGAATGTGTCCCTGAATTTTTAAGAACTTTTCAGGTGAAAGCAGTATATATTAGAAGTGCTGCCACTGTTGAAGGCTTTAACGAATCTGGTAAGGAAATATATCTGAAATGATGGCCAAGGGGTCATGGGTTGTCTAGTTCTCTTCACATGTGATCATAATTTCACATATAATCATAATTTTAGAGATAAGCAATAAGGATCTCTAAGATACGGTAGCCAGCAATATTACACTCACAATAAGAGAAGAGGATAATCTAGTTATTATAGAAACTGATTTACACAAATAAAACCCTATCTTTGAGTTGCAGCATACAGTAATCAGAATAAACAAGAATAAGAATAGGCTGTCTTGGCCAATTTTAGAATCTCTAGCAATGACTTCATGCATATGAACACACACTTTAAAAGCCCCCAAATTAGTAGGTACAAAGAGGAAAGCTGGGCTGGATTAAAGCATGTCAGAATTGGCAGAAACTAGTAGGAATAGATAGAAGCAAATCTGAAGTCAAAGCCACAAGAACTTCATGAGCCCCACCCAGTGTTGCTACCACATCCAAACCCCAAAAAATGTTTATATTGTATCAGAAATCTCTCTCTCTCTCTCTCTCTCTCTCTCTCTCTCTCACACACACACACACACAGAAGGAAACACCTGCACATAAACTTTTAACAAACTATTGGACATATATTCTGTTTTTAATTAATACAGTGCCTAATAGGAAGATATTCTCATCCAAATTATCTGAACATTGTCAATTTATATTTTCTGAAAGTATAATTTGGATGAGGAGCAGTTCATTGCTGCTGCTTGCTAATGGATTTTGACCTTTTTTAATAATACCTGCAATACCCCCTCCCCTTTATTTCTTTTGTGTTTCTTCTTTTTTGCTGTTTCTGTTGGAAGATATGAGGAGTGTGTGTTTGTATATTTGTGTTATGTGTGTGAGATTTGTTTCTGCTTGTGAGATACAATGACTGGTATATTCTGATGGGGAATGAATTATCCATATGAATTAAATATTTTCTCTTAGAGGCAATTAATTTTAACAATAAAATATTAATTCAGTAAAAAAAATTGTCCTA